CGTCCCTCCCACGCCCCGCCTGGCCCCCAGCACCTCTCACGTACGGTCCGGAGTGCACCAGGATGGAGCCCACTTTGTCCACGCCGGCTTCCTTCAGGTTGGGGCAGGCCCCGCTGAGCTCATGGCAGCGGCCCTGGAAGTTCTCCTGCTCGAAGATGGCAATCTGGAAGAGAGCAGGACCTCAGCGAGAGCATCACCCCCTCCCCTGCCGCCACTACGGGGGGCACACGCTGTCCCCGACCGCTGGGGCAGCACATCTGCAGCTGTCCAGACCTCTCACTTTCCCAAAAACTGCACTCCAGAGGCTTTTAAGGAGCCTGCAAGTGCAAGCCCCCGCTGCCGTGCCTCTGAGGATGTCACACTCTCGGGTGCCAGCTCTGTCCCAGAGCCCCGCTGCTCCTGGCACAGGGATGCTCACAGCGGGCATCAAACAGCTGAGGGACTCGGGTCGTGGCTGGAGCACCGCAGCCACCGGAGGGACACGACCAGACACCCGGGGACAGCTCGGGGACAGCCCCGGGGCCGCCAGCTCAGCACAGACCTCGGGGGTCAGCGGGCAGTGGGGACAGATCTGCTGTGTCCGCAGCGGTGGTGGGAGATCAGCACTTGAGCTCTTCCCAACCTCTCCGCCTGCACCGAGGATGCCAAAAAAATCCCATTCCCCATCCCCTCGTCCTGCTGCAAACATCTCAGCAGCGCAGCCGGCCACGCTTGGCACCAGCCGGGTGTGCTGGGGGTGCTGGCAAGGGGAGCTCAGCTGCTCCCAGCAGCGACTCCGGGTATGGTTTGGGCACCCAGAGAGGCTTTGGGCACCTGCAGGGCTGGGCAGTCTCCCACTGACCTTGGAGCTGGCTTGCTGCTGCTTGGAGGCTGGCATTTGGTGCTCGGAAGCCATCATCAGCTGGGTAGTCTGCTGCCTTGGGAGGGAAACTCAGCACGTTAAAATCGGCCTCTGGGGACACACTGGGGACCGTGCTCAGAGCCCCGTGTCCCTGCCCTGTGTCCCTGCCCTGTGTCCCTGCCCCGTGTCCCTGTCCCGTGTCCATCCATACCCTGCAGTTTGCCCAGGGAAGACGGTGTTGGGAGCAGGGCTGGCAGCAGGATGGGCTCAGGATGGGGTTCTCAGGGATAAATCTGCACCCCAAACCTCCCCAGGCTCAGCACAGGCAATGGCCCTCGGGACCAGCACTGGCAACTGTGAGCCCAGGAAATTCCTAAATCATTCCCAGTGGGGCCCAGGCCCTTCGGTCGAGGATTTCCTGCTGTCCCTGTCCAGCTGAGAGCCCCGGCCCCACGCGGGTGTTTGAAGGGGCGATGGGGAGAAGCTCTGGGGCTCCCCCCGCCAGCCCCAGCCCCGGGGAGCCTGTGCCGAGCCCTCCCGACTCGGCCTGGCACTGCCACCCCAAGCAATGAGCCCAGTCCTCAAGCCCAGAGGGACCCTCAGTATCTGAGCAGCTCCAAAACAGGTGAAAACCTCATTCCTGACAGAAGAGAAGCGGAGCCGTGGCCGGGTGGTGATATCCTGCTTTGGGCTGCGGGGACGGGGCTGTCCCCGGCTCAGCCGCTGCCCACACCCCGCTGGCACCGGCAAGGGACCGCGGCCCCGGGCACCGGGAGGAGGCTACGGCAAAAGAGAGGACAATAAATAGCAAAGTCTTACCAGTTATACCAGTACCCGCTTGAGCCAGTGACGGGCTGGGGCCGGGAGGTGGAATTTATACCGAGCCGCAGCAGAGAGGTGCCAAAACTATTTACAAAATAGTTAAAGCCTGATTCAAAGCGAGAATGCTGGATTAAACCCCAATGAAAACCAGGGTCAGCTGATCCGCCGCAGCCTTTGTCTGCCCGAGCACCAAGCCCGAGTTATTTCATTACCTGTCACATTGGAGTCACCCGCTTTGTCGGGTTGGTGGCGAGGAGATTTGGAGTTTGCAAGCATCAGCCGAACGCGTGCCAAGAGCCGGGGCGGGCCTGGCCAGCAAAGCCCCGCTTCGGGGCCAGAGCCTTGATCCCCCCCCGGCCGGACCTGCTGAGCTCGGCTCTTCCCATGCGCGATCAAACTTTGCCTCAAAGCGCCGGGAGCGTCTGGCTTTGCCCGTCTGCAGCCCGGCCCGACACCGGCCCGGGCCTCCGGGCATGGGCAGGGGCCGGACAGACCCCGGGGTTCGGGTGTGGGGCACTCAAGTGTCGGGTGTTGGGCTCCTCCGCCCTTTTGGGGTCCCTGAGAAGCGCCCCAGCCCCACGGGGCAGAGGCAGCAGCAGCTCAGGGGCCCCTCTGTGACAGCGGGACAAAGCTGAGGTCACCGGGGCTCAGGCTGGGATGTGCCTGGATGGGCGGCACAGCCAGGGCTGAGCTGGGGCCGGGGGCAGCAGCAGGGTCCCTTGGCTGGCATTGTCCCAGCAGCCGAGCCAGGAGGCTGCACGGGGCTGGGGGCTGCAGAAAAGGAGCTCTCACGGAGGGGGGACACTGCCAGACTCGCAGCCCCCTTCACCCCACTGAGGAGCTGGATTCACCCCAGCAAGTGTCCCCGAGCATGAACAGAGCCCAGACCTGCTCCTTCCCGCAGCCAGCACCTCCCGAGGTCCCACAGGGGATGGGCTGCAGCCCCCCCAGGGTCCCCTCTGCCCCAGCCCCTACCCCAGGCTGGCTGCACACACCGTCACTCACAGGCTGTTGTCACCAGAGCCCACCCTGGCAGTGACATGTGGGGGGCTCAGTCCCAGGCTCTGTGGCTGCCCTGGCTCCAGGGGATGGGGATTCCAGGGCCAGAGGGGCCATGGTGACAGCGCAGCTCTGCCAGGAACCCATCAGGCCATGGATGTGAGCAGGAGTTTCCAGCATTCCCAGCTCTTCCTTGCCTGTGTCTCCTGCTGCGGCCCCACAGATGGAGCCAGTATTGCCTTCCCCATCTCCTGGGTTAATTCATTCAGGTTCTGAGCCCAGGACCCTCATGGACCTGTCCCAGGCATCCTGTCCCCTCAGCACCTCAGCAAGGGGCTGCCACAGTGCTCAGCGTGGCTCCTGTGATTCCCTCCCTTGGCTCTGCTGGGCTGGATTTAGCTCATCCCAGCCCTGGTGCTGCAGCTCCCCGGCCGTGGCAGCCCCATGGAATGTTCTGGAAGCAGCTTTTGCCACCCAGGGCCAGGCACTCACCTTTCCCAGCCACCAACCCCCCCAAAGGGAAAAGCTCCAGAGGGGTTGCTCAGAGATCTGCACAAAGCCCTCAGGTGGACTCGAGCCCATCTCTCATCTCTGCCCCAGCCTGGTGGGTCCCCAAGCGTGGCCACAGTGCCCCAGGGGAAGGGCAGTGCCAGGGCAGCTCAGTGTCCCACCAGCCCCCTGTGGCACCCCTCAACCCCCCACCTCTGCCCCCAGAACAGCCCCCCCATGTCAGAGCTCATCCCCCAGGAGAAACCACCCCAGGACTGTGGGAAACTTCCCTGGGGACAGGCAGGAGACCCTGCAGGACACTGAGGTTGGGCACAGCCATCCCTCCACGGGATGAGCCCTGCTTGGAGTGCACGACCCAGGGCTGGCTGCTCCACACATCCCCCCGGCCCCCTCCCTGCCCTGGGACTGGCCACCAGCCCTGGGAGCGGGCAGGAGATGTTGTGGAAAGGGACAGAGGCACTGGGAAAACGCTGATGCAGCAGCACTGGGGGTGATTTTTGGAAAGCTGC